GAGTCGAGATATTTGTAGATTCGGGTCCAAGAAAAGCTAAATTTTTGGACCTGAATCTGGAAGGACCTGCAGCTTCTTAGTTGTTTATCAAATGTCACCTTTTATGTAGAATATATTTTATTTTTCTTTGCTTTGATATTGTTAAAAGCACAAAAAACATGTCTCGTTTGTATCAAAATCGATTACGTCGATTGGGAAAAGACAACATAGAATTAAAGATGATTAGAGATCGAGGAAGACAATAGTATTAAGGAACAGCTTCTATGTATAAGAAGTCAAGGCATAGAAGAAAATAGTAGTTCAGCAGAAGTAGATCGCGTTAAGCACTTAACCTATCTGGTGGTTGAGAAGCGAATAGTAAATAAGACTCATTCAGTATTTTTTTCGTATATTCTTCCTGTCTTCTTTTATTTAACCATGAATTATTGAATGAACATTTCATACAGAGTAGTTGGTCTACTAGAAAATTCTCTATTATTCAAAATCAGATCAGAGTCAATTCTCATTCAATGATTTATTACCATTTTTATGGATTATAGGTTTTCGTTGCATCTCGAATATCAAATAGATATACTGCTCGTATTGTCAATGTAGCCATAGACAACCACAACAACTGCTACTGATGAAGGCAATGATGATCATACAAGTCTTAGTATTCTATGTTGGGATAGAGCATATTTTGCTTTATTTTTTTTGTCTTGAAGTTGAAAAAATTAAGACTTGCATATCGACTATAAACACTATTTAATGAACTGATATCATGAATGATGTCTTCGTTAATATTTCAAATCCTTTCAAAAAAAAAATAAGTAATATACGAAGAAATTGAAATTCGAATGACTTTTCTTTTTGGAGAAAGTTCTTCATATAACAAACATTTTCGATGACATTCAGCTAAACAGTAGAGACAATGTGAAAAATTTTGATATGTCCTTGCAAAGAAAATGAAAAGCGTACAACTACAATAATGAAAAATAATAGCCACAGAAAAGGTTAAGTTTGATCAGCATCAAAGCAAGAATAATTTGGAAAATAGTAATCTAAAATCAAAAGATGATTCAGACTGAGAAAATACATACATCTTTGTATTGCTTCATTTAAGTTATGAGAATTACTTGATGATGCTTGAGTCGAACTCATAGCACTATCATTTGTTGATTCTTCAAGTAAAATCAAAGTAAAATATATTATCGTACGTGATAACGTTTCAAGTGTAAGATTACATAGGGTGGACGAAAATTCAAGCAACAACTCTCTAAAATTTCGTCCTCGTGGTTGTTGTTCCTCATGTCAACTTATTCTGGTGGTGGCATCTGTTAGTTATGAAGCCACCTATACGAATTTTCACAAATGCCTATTAAGGCAAGTTCTAAATAGATTTTTTAGTAAACTCTGCTTGTAGATGGAAAAATAGTGCATACGCTCGTACATAAAGACTCGGTTATTATTAGGTTTAACTGCTACAAAAATTCATGATGAATTCATCGTTTCTTATCGTACAGTTGCTCATTGAGTTCATCAATTTTCAAGTAGGTTACAATTATTGGAAGATAATTTTTCGAAGTGATCGTTCAATACGCATGTTCCATGAAAAAACTATCTTAAGAACGGCTGAACATATCGAGCTGTCCTTTGGTACTTATGGGTTTCTCGATGTGCTCTTGCTTTTGTCTAGCGAACACTTTTGTCCAAAATGCTCGGAAGTAGGTTTTCTAGAAAACCGTAGTTTTGGAACCAATGGTTGTTAAAGTCTTTTTGTTTTGACAGTCTATAATGATAGAGTAACCAATTCTCTACAAAATGAGATGTCTCCGAGCTCTCTACGGCTTTTTTTGACCGAGTTAGATAAATTTTAGTAAAAGACAAAAGCCGTTGTTTCTCAGAAGAAATAGCAGAAAAAATGGCTTTTGCCTTCCACTAAAATTGATGTAACTCGGCCAAAAAAAAGTCGTAGAGAGCTCGGAGACATCTCATTTTGTGGAGAATTGGTTGCTCTATCAATATAGACTGTCAAAACAAAAAGACTTTCGCGATCACTGGTTCCAAAACCACGGTTTTCTAGAAAACCTACTTCCAAGCATTTTGGACAAAAGTGTTCGCTAGACAAAAGAAAGAGCACGTCGAAAAACCCTTAAGTACCAAAGGACAGCTCGATACGTTCAGCCATTCTTAAGATAGTCTATACCAACTTTCTCATGGAACACGCCTATTACCGCAATTACTCAGCAAAATGTTGATAGTATTAAAGATCTAGTGAATGCTGAATCACGTATTAGTATTGATTATATCACTACCGTCTTAGACATAGTTATCACATAAACTATGGTGATGCATACTTAAAGATATTCATCAACAATTTCCATAAGAAGCAAACATCATCAACAACAAATAGCATAAATTTGCATTATAAAAATGCAAAATTACATATGCAAACTATTGTTCTCAATCTTAATTATCTTCAAGAAGAAAAAAATCTATGTTACAATTCATCCACTACATATGCTTGGCTTTGCTCTTTCTGACTTTTAGTCGTTTATTGATTTGAAACGTAGCCTTGATACATATTCACATGCTACTAATTTAGGTAAAGCAATAGTCAGAGAAGTCAATTCAACACTTATTCACGCATATCAAAAGATCTTTGAGAAATACTTGGAAAATTTACTGTAAACAGATTAGTAAAATGTTTTTTTCTATGAATAAATATTCGAAAGTGACAGATCTTGGAGAGTACCCTATATACACAAGTGCCATTTACTAATATCTAATTGATAGATAAAGCAGAAAATCTTTAATTTGAAAATTGACTGTAAGAGATAAGCTGACAATCTGTCTATAGTTCATCATTTTGAAAAAAACTTATTAGAAAATCTTAATAATTACTAACAGTTGAACTTGCTAATTTCTAATTCGTGACCATCGAATGATCATAATTAAACTTGAATTTAGCTAAATTGTATTGGTTGCTGAATTTCAAGAGAAAAATATTTTTTCTAATTTTATTCATAAAAATTTTCTTTACAGTGAAAAAAAAATGATAAATTCTAATAAAGGCAACATTGTGATTCGTATAACAAGTTTACTTGAAATAGACTGATTGGACTCTAGCATTGTGATCTAACTAAAGAGAGAACCTTTTAGAATGTCTGATCGCTTTTTTCACCAAGAACCATGTTCACTTGATAAGCGCTAAAGAGCAATAGAAAAATCTAGAATGATTTTGTTTACCAGCCTTTCTTCTTGACATATTGGAATTTTCTTGAGTTTTTTTTAACAAAGAACTGGGGTTATGTGAAAAGTCAACTTTCGAGTTTCGATTTCAAATGTTGCACGAACAAAGTTCTTAATGAGATTAATTGATAATGCAAGTTTTAGGTTTTCTAGTAGTTATAATAACAATAAGATTTGTATTCCGAGAAATATATCTATAGATATGTGATAAAATCGTAACCACTGAAGAATTGTTAAAGGTATCATTGTGACAAAATCTTAGATCAGTTGTACATAGGAAAAGTCACATTTTCGGTGGAAGGTTACAAGAAGAGATTGTGAATGAATACCAACTATTGCTTGCAAATTTAATAGCAAACAAAATAATCTATTTAGTTGCATTAACGATATTTGAATGTTCTTCAATAGTAATATACATCATTGACCAACAGATAGTACTGTAAGTGTTAACGAAGTATTGAAACATATCTACCGGTAGTATTACAATGGAGATATGTTTCGTTTAGAGCTCGATCGACCATGGAAAGTTTTGGTGATTGATTGATTGATAATATATATATAGATATATAATTACAATATAATTTGACTTGATTCTATTAAAACAGACGATCCTCTTATTAATATAAAGACAATATTACAAGAGCATTCATTATACAAAACGAGTCATGATTTCTGAGCCACCCATTATACTAGAAAGTATCGAGACATATTTATTCTACTGTTCAAAGAAAATCATACTCGAGATTCAAAAGTATTTATCGATCAGAACTAAAAGAGAGTCGAATATATCATTAGTGCATTTTTTATTTTAACTAGAGATTTACAGGGTGCCGTAAACGTTAAAAAATTTCTCTTAGTCAGAAAGCAAAGTACGAAAAAACTTTGCTCTGAACATCTCTAACGTGAGACTATGTTGATATTTATCTCTTTTAGAGTCTTTCAACAAGAGTAAAGTTAAGGTAGAGCTAAATGAAAGCTTCATATGGTTAGGTAAGGGTTCGAAAATTTCTCTCAATCAAAAGACAAAAAATTCGTTCGAAGAAACCTTCTCAGATATCTCGTTCCGATTTCAATTACTTTTTACCGATAGATACTACACGATGTTCTTATAAAAACTCTGAAAGAATGTGGGTTCCTACTGAAATTTGACTAAGCTATCCAGTTTCTAAGATATCTATTATCTAGATCCAGGCTTGAGAAAAACTTCTGTTTTAAAGTTTCATGTCAGAGACTCTTTTTTCATGGATAATATACACAATATTTGAAAGCTTCATATTTTGAAGAGATGTTGTTCACAGTTTATGCATTTCTTTAGCGAAGCTAATCTAGTTTAAGTTCTCTATGTGCGAAAAGTTTTAGATAGAAATTCGGAAATACAATTTTTCTAAAAACAAATTCGGGGACTTACTCAAGTGTTAATAGGAATCGAAATCGTTTGAGAAATTTTATTAGAACATTGTTTGATATCTATAGACGAAAGAACCATTGAAGTTGAAAGTGAATAACTGAAATAGTTTCCTTGCAAACATGCACTATTTCTAATTTTATATTGAAAAAATTCTTTTTAAGTTTTAAATAGTATTGTTAATCATCAAATGCTAGAGCTCAATGATCTTCAAAACTAATTCTATTGACATGATCAAGAATGAAGTAGATATTTAACAATATTTTGTTTTTTCATAGAAAAAAAAAGGACATAAACTAGATTCGAAATAAACAAAAACACTAAAATACAATTAAAACAGAAAGGAAAGTTTTTGTTTTTGTTTTTATGTTAGATATTCGTATTCATTATCAGTTAATGATGTTGTTGTTTTACGTTTTTTATTTGGTGTTGAACGAAGAAAATCTTCACACATTTGTGTATGTAACGAATCTGCATCTGGATTTAAACGAAGTAATAATTGTTGATGAAATAATTGTTGATTTTTTATTAATTTATCTAATTTGATTTGTGTTATATCAGATAATGATTCTTTTATTTGTTCTAATTCTTTTCGTAAATTATTTAATTCTTTTTCTTTAATTTGTTTATATTCTTCAAATTGTTTTTCAAGATATTTATATTTTATTTTAAAATTTTCTTCGTCATCTGTCAATGTCTAAATAAAGAAAATTTTTAAATTCAACAAATAAATAATTAAAAATTTAATTTTACAATTTGATCTGATTGTTCATTAATAAGTTCATTATCTGATTGTTCAGTTGGAATCAATTTTGTAACAAATATTTCTTTACCTTGAATATAATGTGGTCGAGCAATTAAAATTCGATCAACATCATCATAATCCTATAAAAAAAAATAAATTATTTTCATATATATTTTTTTTTTCTTCTAGATTTTTACCCTATAATCAATAAAACCTTTTTCATAATCAAATTTTTTAATATAACCTAATTTTTTGAAATAATTTCGAAGAGTTTCTTTATCATATTTAGTTGAATTCGATATAACTAATCGATTTGTAACAACAAGTCTTTCAGGAATTGATGCTGTCAAACGTGGTAATGCTCGTTTAACAAATATTTCTTCACCATTAATTATATGTGGTCGTTTAGACATAAATTCTGTTGTACAATGTGCTAATTGAAATGTAACAAAAGCAAAACAATGATAAATCTTAAAGATAAAAAAAAAACAAAAAGAATTTTTATCATATAAAAATTTTCAATATCAAAACAAAATATTTACATTATTATCTTTATCTCGATTTAATGAAAGTTCAGTTAATTTACCATATCTTTCACAATATGTTCGTAACGTTTCTACAGTTACATTACATAAATTACCGATAAATAATTGACGACTAAATTAAATTATAAAAAACAAAATATATATATATATATATGATTCGAATATTTTACTTACTCGCCCATTGATATATTAAAAAATATACAAATAAAAAAAAGAAAATCTTTTAGTTATTTTATCTGAAATAAGAAATCATTATTATAAGTGTATAAAAATACCCGGAAAATAAGTAAAGGAAAGAAAAGAGAAGAAATATTAATACTCATTATAACAGAGGATGATATATATATAAGTAATCTTGACTCTAAGCGACATCTGACTCTAATTTATATTTCTTGTTCTAATGTTATTATTTTTGAAGATTTGCATTCTTTTTTTGGAACAAAATCGAATTGATAAAAACAAGTTTTATTGAATCGATTTTTGTTATTAAATTAAAGCTGCTTCGACTTCTTGAATTTTTAGGTCTCATCAGTTAAAAAAACGTTCAGCAATATACTTCACATGTGTGTCTTCAAAATTCAGATGATTAATGTATATGTTACTTCTCGAAAAACAAACAACTATTTGAAGAATTTCTATATTTGAGTACTACTTTTATTGATAAAGAAAAATTTAGCAATATTGTTTTTGATCTGTTAATCATTATGTATTGTCGAGACGTATGAAAATGGAGGGAAGATGAACAATCTCATCCAATAAATCAAAGTTCTTTGTTATTACTTACGAGTAAAATATCTAAAGTGCAGTTCACCGTTTGAGCTCATATTGAGTTCACAAGGACATCTTCGATAAGACTAGAAAAAGCTTCAAAGAACTCGTGCTCATTGACGTTTGAGAACAAGTTAGGACCGTTTTACTGAATCTTCAACGTATTTCAAGCACTTTACTGGAAAACTAACTAATACAATTTTGAGCTGCAATTTTGTCCGATACATAGATCTGATGACTCCTGGAATATCCTGCAAGTTTTGTCGAGACAATGAATTTCCAAGTAAATTCGGTTTTTGTAACAAGTGGCTATTGGTTGAAAATTCAATATTTTGACAAATGAATATGTTTTTCGGATGAAATTTACAGAATAAATCAAGGATCATTAGATCTATTTATGAGTTCGATACACAGTTGGAACCGGACAGGTTTTTTCTGTCCGGTCCGGTCCGGCCGGTTAAAAAATTTGTCCGGTCCGGTCAGCAACCGGCCGGACAAATTTCACAGCCAAACTGGCAAAAAGCCGGCTAAAATAACCGACCATAAAAGTATCTGTTAACATAAAATATTGGCGAAGGGAAATTGAATATTCACATGCAGAAATCCCAACTAGGGGTGATCAATTTACATTTACGAAAAATTTATAAATCCAAAAATAAATTTTAAGAAATTTAAATTAAAAAATAAATTATAAAACGTTTTATTTATTTCAAATTTAAAATGGATTTACATAAATTTAAATTTTGTAAAATTATTTAAATTTATGTAAATCCAATTTAAAATTATAATAAATTAACAGCAAATCGCCACCCTTAATCCGAACTGGAAACTAAAACTTGGGACTGAAACTCTCCCTTCATATTTTATAGCAAGGTGCGTCGACTTTTCGAGCCCGACATCGATATAAATTAGCTATTCAGATCAAATCTGTTTTTCATCTTAATTTCAAAAAAGAAAAAAAAGCAAGTTTATAACACATCTAACATAAAAATGTAAATTTTTATTTTTCTTGATTCAGGCAGCTGCCTAAGTAGAACAAGAGAATAAATTATTTCATCAAGGTTAAATTGAGCGATACACGAGAAAGAAATCGATAGAGATATAAAGAGAACAATCAATCGTTTATAGTCAAGTCGAAGGCAAGATATCTATTGAGTCTTTCGCAAACACATTCTTCTGACTTGAAAATATCATAAAAAAAACCATTTTCAGTAGAGAGAATTCTTGGATACAAACAACAATTTTGTAATGATGAACTGGCAAAAATCCGGTTCTGTCCGGCCCGGTTTAACTTCTTGTCCGGTCCGGCCGGACCGGAGCCGGATTGCCGGACCGGTTCCAACTCTGCTGTGAAGTATGAGAAATTAGTGAATAATTTTGAAAATATACTTGCATCTTCATATAATAATTAAAAGTCATTAAATTTTACTAAACTATTGATAAATAGAAAAAAATTCTTTGTTATTATATGAATGAACACAAATATTTGATGTCTACATTTTGAAATTAGATACATAAAACTAGACCTCTAAATATGAAATTTTTCATTAACAAAACTTATGCATGTATTTAAAATACTCAATAAAATCAAAAAAATTGAAATTTCTTTTTTAATTAAAAAATATAAATAAATTTGTTAGATAAATGTATGAATGATGTTTTATTCAACAAAGTGTAATCATGTTCTTGCATCAAGCAGATTATCACAATCATAATAATAATGTTCGATACCCTATGAATCATTACAAGCAAAAAACAAAGTTTCTTCTCAATCAACTTGACAATGTTATATCATTCGCTTTAAGACTATCAATACAAATTGGAATCAGACAACAATCTAACAACTGACACAATGGATAGAATAAACACATCACCCACAACTAAGTAACCATAGTAATAAATCTATTTTCTTTCCGGTTTATTAGACAATATTTTAACTACAATAAAAACAAGTAAACCGTATTGCTCTGTTTTGTTATTATTAGAAAGTTGCGGGTTCACTTTTTTGTGGATTCGAATCCTAATCAGATTTTTCTCTCTCAATATTTGACGCCTTCTATGTACATGAATAAGTGAAGAACCAAAGTTTCCCTATTTCATGGCTACCCCAAGAAAAAAGTCAAGGTAATGTTATTTCTTGTTATTCACTTTCCCTTCACTCTACGCTTAACAAATTAAAAATTTTCGCTTAGTCAAAAATAGTATTATGTTAAACAAATACGGAATCGAATAGTTCATTGATGAGCAAAACTTGCCATTGAAAGTCGTCAAACCAATAATAGAATCAAAATCTTCAGCTGTATGGAATAGTTTAAGTTATATTTATGTAAATGAGATCAAACGAAAATAGGTCCTATGCCAACCAATCCAGGAAGCTGTGGGTCCTCGTATTTGTGGAACTCCTATGTTTCTACATACATTAAATTACCGATTGTGGACAAGTCTCCTGCGAGAACGACTTTTTTTCATTTCCGTTTTCCGTTCCCTTGATGCTTTCAAAGTTTCTATTACGATTTCATATATTGTGTTGGACAAAAAAAAAACTTTTATTACTAGACTGTAGTTTCTGCTGATGTCACATTTTACACAATACCAGATGACTTAAAATTAAAAATAAAACTATCATTAGAGGTACATTTTAGTAAAATATATCAATTATTATTTATACTTCCGACATTTATCAACTTTAAATAGAAAGAATTATTTCCTTGGTCAATTGAAAAATTAAGGAGAGAAAAAAAACAATAATAGAACATCAATGACAGTAACATCGATGAAAAAACGAATATATTCAAGAGAAACAGATAATAATAGTTCTATATAACGAGAACGACGATAATTACAGAGAATAGAGTATTTATGATGATTGAATAACAATGTAATAAATGATGAATGAATTTCCCTAATATTTGATGATAGATATGTGGTATTTTTCCGTTAATTAGTAAATGTTGCAAAAATCTTTGGAAAAATGATGCAATGTGTTTCTCAACAATATAACATTGGATTGACTTCGACATGTTTACTTTCAGAAAGCGAAGTTTGAAGATTATATAAAGAAAATAAATCAAAATAAAATGATTTTCAGGAATGTCTTTTTTTTTAAATATCGTTTTCTTTCCCGATTCCCGACGGAAACAAGACGGCCGGAAAAAAAAGTTTTCCAAAGGACAGTATTAGGAATGCTTGTGGATATTAAATGGCTTGAATTGTAATGCAATTAAATTGATCTTCTTTTGCTAATAAAGAAAAGCGATTATTAACGCAAATAATGATGTAGATGACTTCTTTTGGTATTAGTGACAGATCAGATGTTGCCGTAGTGTGCATTATATATATTATTCTACGTTAATTCTTTTGTATTATTTCAACCATGATTATATTGTTTGTCAGCAGAATCGAATGAAAAAATTATATTTTCTCTTTCTCTCTTTTTCATTACTTTTTAATATTTGCATTCAATGAATAGACTTCATACACAAAGAACGGGAAGTATCTATGTTTCATGCACTTAAAATTTTACTTAGTGCATTCGTTTTTACAATAAACTTCATTCAGTTGTTTTTTTAAATTTAAATATATTTATTAAAAGATAAAAAGCAAAAAAAACCAAAGTCTTTTAGTTTTGATGATTATATTTGTTTCTTGACACCAAGAAGTGTACCACAATTCGGACAATAATGTTCGGTATCCTACATATATCATAAAAAGAGTAGATATTTTACAGAAAGAAAAACAAAGCATGATACAAACCTTGCAAACATCAACACAAAATGGCATCCAACAACAAGGCCATAGAAATGTAAAGAAAAGAACGGCACATATAATCCAAGCTAGAATACTAGGCTTCTTTTGTGTCCGTGTAACAATCTGTTTTCCACAGTAAGGACATGTACATTGTATTGGATATTCACCTACAATAATTACTGTCGATCCCACATATACTGGTTGTGACATGTTTGATGGTTCTTGTCGATAAGGATCTTGGGTATCTGGTTTTCAATAAAATGAAATACCTCAAAAGTAAGAAAATAAGAAGAAAATTTCATTTACTGTAGGATGGTGGTGGTCCAACGTTCATATATTGCCTTAAGCCGTCCCAAAGTTTTTCAAAGTATTCAAAAAAAAAAAATGAAAAAATTTACTTATATTCATAGAAGAACACTGTTATTAATTTTCAATATAATGTTACCGTTGAAACGACCAATTGATTGTTTAGAAATGATAGAGAGAAACTTTTTTCTTAAAAATACATCAATAACAATCCCTTATATAAAGAATAAAGAAAAAAACATAAAGGTAAAAGAATAAATTTTTATAATGCTGACACGTTGTTCTATGTTTCTTTTTGGTCAAGTTTTTATGTTGTGAAAAGCTATATACCAGTTAAAGGATATTATAGCAATTGTTGTTAATATGATCAAATATTAGGACTCAGTATGTCTTCAAACTATTGTCTTATGGACACTATTTATTTCACTATTTTTTCGAGAGAAACAAGAACGATATTAAAAATGAACGTTCTTGAAAATCGTTTCTTTTTTTGCTTGCATTGCTTTAAAAGATTTGTATGTAACACCTTTTTATTATTAATAACTATTTTTATACATAATAAAACGCATAAAAATCTTGGGGAAAATATCGAGATTCATCTTTCAACAGACGAATATGGAATTGATCTGAACATTTTTTGTTTGATAGAGCAAGAGCTAAAGAATGAAACAAGTGAACATTGTTAAAATGTTTATTTTCGTTTGATTAGGATGAAAGCCGAATACGGAGCAACGCTAAAAATGTTTTTGGAATCTGAACTTTCCATATTTTCGCTTGGCGACTTCGCGATTTTGTTTGTCTTGAACTCTAAGTTAAACTGATTCACGAATAGAGCTTTCCAACTCTTATCATTCTATCTATGTGGAAAATTTTTGGTTATGTTGTCGATAAGAAAACTCTCTTTTATAATTTTGTCTTCGCTGGACCATAAGTTTGGTAAAAGTTGTGAAGCAAAAAACTAGTGAGTCGATGAATCCTGAAAGTTTTTTAAATTCAAACTTCTTCAAATTTATATCTTAGATACAGTGTTTTTTTTTATCTATCTAACGTTCAGATGCCAAAGATATGCAATCATTTTCTTTTTCGTTTTTTTGTACATGGTTCGATAGAGAGTATGTCAATACTTTTGAATAATTACTTATTAGCTTTTTAAAAGTAATAGTCTTGATGCAAAACATTCGACATGATGATGTACCCTATTTTTGCATGAAATAAATCTATTTTGATAAACACGTAATATTCTTTCCATTCATTATTATTTTTAGTTGTCCGAAGGGATTTTTGTTTCTCATTGATCGTGTGAAACTAGTCACAAAAAAGCTGTACTAGTCATTGTTCAAATAAAGTATTATTCATAGTGGAACCTTGAGAAAAAACTTAGTATGCCACTTTGCAAATTTATCTAGCTTTTTTTCTAGAGAGATGAAAACACTATTTTTAGGGAATTAGAATAAGTATCGCTGAGGAAAAGATAAAGTAGAAAGTTTTTCAAAGTATTTCTTCATTGTTGAAAAAAATCAAAATTTTCTATTTCATCGACATGATCGTACAAAATCGCGCTTGTATTTAGCGCCTGATCCCTCCGAATTTCATTCGAGAACAAAATACATGTGATGCTCGGATTCAGCATCAAAAACTGAATTGGGTGACATCCGTATCAACAAAGAATATTTTTCAGTGAAATTTTATCCCCTAGTGGACCATGGATGTAATTAATATTTCATCGAAATGTGTCTCCTCCAACTCAGTTTCTGACGCTGAATTTGTATATCACATGGATATTGATCATAAACAAAATTATGAAGGTCATAGTGGCTAAATACGAACGCGATTTTGTACAATCATGCCATTCAAATAGAAAACTTTGATTATCTCAACAATGAAGCAATGCTTGCAAAAACTTCCTACGTAATCTTTCCCACAGAAATACTTTCTATAATTCCTTAGAAATAATATTTTAATCTCTCAAGACTAAAAACTAGATAAATTTGCAAAATGGCATACTAAGTTTTTTTCAAGGTTACACTATGAATCATATTTTATGCGAACAATGACTAGTACAGCTTATTTTATGGCTATTTTCATACGAATAATAAGAGAAAACCACTTCGAACATCTAAAAATAATAACGAATAAAAAGTTCTGCGTGTTTATCAAAATCGATTTATTTCATGCAAAAATAGGGTACATCATCATTTCGAATGTTTTGCATCAAGACTATTACTTTTAAAAAGCTAATAAATAATTATTCAAAAGTATTTGACACACTCTCTGTCGAACCATGTACAGCAAAATGAAAAAAGATCTTACGATGATTTTGAATTTTTTGGCCTTTTATATCATGATCATGGTATCAAGACAAGAGTAATAGCAATTGTCAAGCAAAGGTTTATGGGCATCGCAACAGTTTTTAAGATTAGTAGAGAGAATGTTCTCGTACAGCATAAATCAAATGGATAAATAATTTTTTGTATTGTATACACTCTCCAAATTTCGTTCTGTGAAAGAAAAAATATCGAAGTCAATCCGATGTTACATTGTTGAGTAATACATTGCAACATTTTTTTTCGAAGACTTTTGCATTGTTTACTAATTAACAAAAAAATATCAAACATCTATCATTAAGTATTGGACACGTTCATTCATTATTTATTAAAGTTCTCAATTCAATTATCAAGACTATCGTATTCTTTGTGAATATCACCTTTGAAAGTGTTAAAATGGTTCATTTTTCATCGGTGTTGTTTATATGCTAGTATTGTTGTTTCTCTTTTTATTTGTTCCATTGATCAAAAAAGTATTTCTCTGAACTTAACGTTTATAAGTGTGGATGTATAAATAATGATTGATTCACTATTATAAAAATGTAATATGCGTGTAATGCAAAAAGTAAGTAAATTTTTTCTGATTTCGTTATGTACCATTCAATAAAGCATGAGTAGTTAGGCATACGTATATTATTTTTAAATCGATTCGTCTATGTTTTAAGAATAAAAGACCAAAAGATTAGGAAGGCATAAAAAACAAATTTAAACAATGAGTTTTCGTTAGAAAGGACACTATCTGATAAGATAATCATCGTTCATTTGAAAAGCCACTATATATTATGCATTATATTATTCTATGCCAATTCTGTTTTGTTTTTTCAACCGTGATTATATTGTTTGTCAGCAGAATCGAAATGAAAAAATTATATTTTCTCTTTCTCTTTCTCCTTCTCTCTTTTTTCTAACTTTTTAATATTTGCACTCAACGAATTGACTTCATACACAAAGAACGGGAAGTATCTATGTTTCATGCACTTAAAATTTTGCTTAGTGCATTCGTTTTTACAATAAACTTCATTCAATTTTTTTTTTAAATTTAAATATATTTATTAAAAGATAGAAAGCAAAAGAAACCAAAGTCTATTAGTTTTGATGATTATATTTGTTTCTTGACACCAAGAAGTGTACCACAATTCGGACAATAATGTTCGGTATCCTACATATATCATAAAAAGAGTAGATATTTTACAAAAACAAAACAAAACATGATACAGACTTTGCAAGCATCAACACAAAATGGTATCCAACAACAAAGCCATAAAAGTGTAAAGAAAAGAACGGCACATATAATCCAAGCTAGCATACCAGACTTCTTTTGTGTCCGTGTAACAATCTGTTTTCCACACTGAGGACATGTACATTGTGTTGGATATTCGCCTACAATAATTACTGGAGATCCTACATATACTGGTTGTGACATCTGTGGTGGTTGATTTTTATGGGAATCTCGATCGTCTGATTTTCAATAAGATAAAATACCTAAAAATTAAGAAAATAGGAAGACAATTTCATTTACTGTAGGATGGTGGTGGTCCCGTGTTCATTTTTGTTCTTAAATATTCTTCGATTTTTTTCAAAGTATTCAAACTGAAAATGAAAAAGAAATTACTTTTATTTATATAAAAACACAATTATTCGTGAGTAATATAAAGCTGTCGTTGTCACGGAGTTAACTTATTTGGACAGAGATGCAAAGAGAAAAAAATTTATTCTTGAAAATCAGTCAATAAATATCGCTTATATAAAGAATAGAGAAAAGAAATGAAAGTAAAACATAATTTTTTTTCATATTGACGCACTGTTCTATACTTTTTTCATAGACTGACTGCAACTATAGTATTCGAAAAATCCATTGAGATGAGAAAGACAGCCTCCATTCAATTGTTGTTACTTACCTATTGCAACGAAACAACATTTTAGTAGTCAATGACGTGTTTATAAATTTGTTTCGAAGCAAACAGTGACTAGGGAGAGAACATCATCATATAAAAATCTTTACTTTTGTCGAGTAAAAAGTATATGTATATTTTAAACTAATAATACATACCTATACAAGTGATCTTTTTCTCTTCTATCAATTAGCAATTAGGTAGTTGACTTAAACAACATTAACGAGTAGTGATGAGATCTTCTCGTCAATAAGTTTCAGAAAAGAAATATAATCAATTTAATATGAATAAGCTGACATGATTTTGCAGGTATTTGAAAGCTTCAAAGCTATCAATCATTTAATGTTCCCTAAATTGAAAGGATGGAATCTAAAACCGAGAGTTCACTTATGTGTGTCGGTCTCTAACATAATTACGATACGGTTACCATGATACAAATGACTATCTGGCAGCTATGGACGAATGACTATACAGGATAGTGAAAAGGAGCACCTATGCATTAGAATACATATTCACCATGAAGTACTCAAGGAAAAAATAGCAGACTTCAAGAAGCTTCATGAGACTTTAGCATATATGATCAGCTATAGCGCATAAGACTTCACGTAACTTCGACAGATTTCAAGAATAAAAGTTTCTGCTGTGCCCTCTCAGCCATGATATCTTAGGGCGAAGAGTACAAAATCTATACATACTGTGAAGCGCGCCTATACACTCTGTATTTCACTGTTTACAGCGATGTTTTGATTTATTGCATGACTGAGTATTCTGATCGTATTTGTTCATGTAACATACGTAGAAATATGATACTTTGACGGCGAGATACTGTGTAAAACAGAAGCTGCATACTGACTTCGTATAAGAGCTTCTTACACAGCTTGCTTACATGTGTAAGTGATCGTACTTCTCTATGTTACATACGACGAAATACGATTGTTATATTGAGTCATGTAACACATTAGTATATGATGAGTTGCAGTTGTGTGCAAGCGTGTTTATTCGCTTATAGTGTTTTTAGAAATGACGTTCATTGTTATTAAACTATTAAATGATTCAATTGATTCTTCAATGGTGTATAAATCAAGATGTGAAGTAATAAATATTAAGAGTTACAAAGTGAATCTGAATACAAGATTATGATTAACTAAAATCACATTATTTGAAGAATGGTATATTAAATTTTTGTACTAGAAATAGAGCTCATATAACTAATTGTTTTCTTTTTAAATAATTATATTGATTTCTGTTATTTTGATAAATCAATATATATAATGTAAGCTTTATTTCAAACGTGAAGATGATACAGAATCATAATCATATGAATGATGAAAAATCAGATCGTCCTCAAGTTCAATTGTTTTATTTAAAATATTAAAAATTCGAGTGTAAAATCTCTAAAATCAATATACTACTGTTTGTGATCGCATATCGAACAGAGAATTTCAGAATTTGGCATATATGAATATATGATGCAAAAAAATTTTCATTCACCGCACTCAGTTTTCATTTGAATTTGAAAATAACATTTTAAGAACAGTATGTAAGAAAAAAAGACAAATATAGGTTACAACATTACATCGATCAAAAAAATTTGACGAAATTTCTGTAAAAAAAAAAAGCATTGCATATCCAAAGAGAACTTCAATAGACATTTGTTGAATATGCAAAATCGGTTTTAAATAGATGTACTACTTAAAATGGTTCGTTTTGGTTGAAATTTTTAGGAATGAGTAGTCTGAATGAAAAACGTTTCTGGCAAATATTTCAACGTGACATATCAAACTAGACCGAACTTTAAGCTTATTTATAGTCCATCAATGATTCTCAGGAAAATTGTTGTAATTTCGTCATTACAAGAGCTACAGAGCTTGGGATGGTTTCAAACTAGAGTCAATACATATGCGCAGATTTTATCTGAACAGAATTTCGAAATGTGCTGCAATGCATGTTTTTAATGATCACATATGTATATACGGTGTTAAAATAAGCAAAAACCAGTCATTTCACGACACTATATATCTCACTGTTCTCAATACAGAAAGCAACTATCAAAAATTTGGTTAGACAAAAGCTTACTCTCATTCAGATCTTCACAACAACAAAAAAAAATAATACCGTTTATGTCTTGAACTCGGTGGTAAGAATTGCAATGTTTCTGAATGAAAACTACATTCCGAGAAAAATGGTGAATAAGTTTAGACATGAATTATTTTCATTTAAGTTCAGAAAAAAAACATCAAAATGGAATATTCATAATGTGTTTAAGGGAAATTTTTAAAGCATATAACAGATGACGTAAGCTTGCACCGTGTGTCGTATTTAAATTATATAAGAATGTTCACCCGATGATAATCCAAATAAAAAGTTAATCTTTCTAAAACTAGAAAACTTTAACAAAGTTACGGAAATTTTCTGAAAAAAGACGTTAGTAGGATCGAGATTTTTCCAAAATTTTTTAAAAATTTGACCTTTTTTTCGAAAAATCATATATGTTCTGAGAGAGGACATTTCGTTACATGGTCCTATAATAAAAATTCAATTGCGATTTTTTTTTTTCGAAAAACTTGATTTTCTGAGGGACAGGGCATTTTCAATAAAAGCTCATCTACAAATAATGAGGAACTGTATGACGAAGTCATTGAATACATTTACAGGAAAATAAATTATCAAAAAGACGAGCATTTATTATTGCGATAGAAAAAGCATTCGTATATGTATTCAGAATTATGGCATTTGGCGTCAAAGTTGAGATCCTTTCCAATGTTATCAGCCCCACCCAAATGTATACTTAGCGAAATTAATCGAATTTTAGAAGCAAAAAGACACCCATCGAGCCCTAAATTAGTTGTTTGTTTATGGAATTTGAGATTATTTCTTCTTTTTCTAGCTGTTTATAAAATAAATTGAATCATATACTTTTACATATGAAGTAAGCGTTCGATAACTCTTCTATGCCTGAGAAAGTATCTGTCAGATTTCAATTAGTTTCGATCCAAGTCCGACTTGGTAACTGGTACAGCTATTTGGGTCCGCATGTGAAATATTGTACACATGCAGAACGCTGATCCTCGAGGTCTGCATCAGTTCCAAAAATGATTTGTTGGAATCGTTCAAAGAAGTATACGCCATTTCTTCATTTTTAAAGTCAATTCATAATTCAAACATGCATTTTGTAGAATCATGCTTCCTTTTTCAGCTCATGCATTTAGAAATACATAATAGGCCTTCAAGTTGACAAATCTTCTATCGAAAAACTATGGTTCCATCTCGTTCGGTTTCGACCAGTTCCAAGTTTGAAACCGTACTTTTTCACTAAAATTTTTTCGATATGAAGGTCTATTATATGTTTCTCAATAGATGAACTGAAAGAGGAAATATTACTCTACAGAATGCATGTTTGAATTAATTATGTATTACCGTTAACAATGAAGATATGGTGTGTACTTCTTTGAACGGTTCCAACAAATCATTTTTGGAACCGATGCAGACCTCTAACTGATCCTGTCAGTTCAGTGTCAACTGAATCGAATTTCTTGCACAAGAAGAAAGTTAAAATAATAATTGCTTTCAAAATATATAAAATAAAACTAGATTTATATCTCAGAAGATTGGTATAATATTTGTTTATGTAACTTATCATGAATAGGATTTCGAATCAAAAAATATATATTTCACTGAATAAGATAAATTAGTCATATAAAAATAATTTCGATTTAAAAAAAAATGTTTTAATGTCTTTATTCTTGTGACTAAAAAACATTTCGTCGACCAATATGTGCATTACATAATGGACATATATGCACAGCATCTTGGCATGCTGGAACACAGAAGGGAATGAGACAACAGCCAAGAAAACCACCAAACAAACAAATAAGCAATGCAATGAGCCATGTACCACCACCAGGTTCATAGTTAACTCTTGTTACAACTTGTTGTTGACATGATGGACACTGTATTTGTTGAGGATAATGGCCTAACAATGTTCCATAAGGGCGAATAATTGTTGTCGTTTGAGCGTACACCGGAATAGGTGGTGGTATACCTATCAATACAAAAAGAAATATGTTTCATGTAGTAGTACTTTATATGTTGATCTCACCATAGTTTGCTGCTCGTCCTGTAAAAGGTGCTTGTTGCTGATATGACATTCCAGGATTTGTTGAATCACTTGGTTGGTATGGTGGTGGCATTTTCATATCATTTGGTTGCGATGCATACGCCATGTTAATATTATAACTTTATGTTTCTGTTTTCACTTGTTTTTATATTATAAACGTAAAAAGTTTTATCACTAGTTCTTATCGCATATTACTCATGTCATTATCATTGTTTCATATTTGTATATGCTATACAAAAGATAAAATTAATTTATATTTTTCATAGCTATCTTTTAGTTATAATATATATTGTTGCTTTTTTTTGTGACCAAAGTCTTTTGATATTCAACAATTCTTTGCTTTGTCCTATTTAGTAATTGTAATTTCTTCGAGAAGTATTTATACTAATGAGGAATATTTAACTGATATGAAAGGTCTACTTAATTTCACAGTCATTTTTTTTGTAGATAGCACGATCATAAAATAAAGAGAAATTCCTGTATAATATTCAATAAATGAATGTATGGAATTATTTTTATTTTAGTATAATTTCACCTAAGAAAATTAAAGTTACAACTAGGTTTAAAAATTTCAAAAACATAGTTGTAAAACTATGATTTGAATGACATAAAAAATCTTGTTAACATGATTCCTTTGGAACTAAAGCGTAGAATTCACATGAGTTTTCACATCTTATTTTACTGATATACAATACTTAAGGTGGAAAATTTCTAACAAACAATAGTTGTTTTCTGAGCATAATCGATTGTTAGAGAACAGAACGTATTTTTACTGCCGCTCTATTTGTTGATTTGCTTTGTTAGTATTCTCTCATATTTTTTCTTTTTCGTTTTGTTCGCTTTTTTTAATTGAACAATTCTTTTTCTAACCATTGATTTAACTGGAAAATAAGTCTGTTGTACATATCCAATATATCTACAGTAGATCTTAGCATACTATTATATATCTCAATAAGCTCAAAAACACTAATATTAGTATTTCCTAAAGTTATAATTTGATCAGTTCGTGTTTTTTTGTTGATCGTACAACGACAGTGGTTTATTCAATGTATTACAATTCGGCATCCTTGACATCTTGAATATAAATTTTTAACTACGCAAAAGTCAGAAATCGCACTATTTAGAATATTCACAAACGGATTCCAGTGGTTTAAATTTTAACAGTCTTGGAAATGTTGAAAAGCAGTCTAAGTCTTGTCGTTAATGTTATTCAGAGTTTTTTTCTCGTTGCTGAAGAGCTCTGAGAAAGGAGCCTGACACCGGTTTTTCTCGGTTTCTATGAAGAAATATATAATGACTGTTGACCTTTCTCTTCTACACAATAGCAAGAGAAAACATACTCATCAGTCTCTGATCTCTGGCCCGGGTTGCTATGTAAGAAAAAGGGAATTTACAAAAACCTCGATTCAACGTTGCACTCACTAGTTTCTTCGAATGTATATATATATGAATTCCACAAAATGAAAGTTTATACATGGAAAAAACGTCAATCAACTTACCATCAAGTTCATCTCATCAACTTTTCTTCAATGCCCCTCATTATTGTGCCATGATAGAAGGAAAAAAAATGTTAATCTATATAGAAAACAACAGCATTATTTACTTTAGCAAGCACCTTCTCAAAAACTTTTTTTTGATTCTCGAATCTTGATGAAATTTCCAGAACAGAATGTATTTCGAGTTAGACACCTCACAGTAAAACTTTCAGCTCGATCACTTAAGTCTATAAAGAGTAAGTTTAAGATTGTGTGTCAAAATATGAGTATCCGTACGTCTTAAATTTCTCCATCATTTCATATACTAGAAACTTAGTGTTGGTTTTAACATATAGAGAAGACATAGGGCTGTAATTTAATAAAGTCCAATTTTTCGATTTTTTTTGTTACTACGTTTTCTTGAAAACTCCTACGATAAAATCCAAAACAGCCGCAAAATCTGGTTCTGTTAAGTTATACGACTGATTTTTATCTTCATTTAAAATGACGAAAAAAATCATTTGACACATGGAACGCGTCAAAATGAACAGCTCTGTTGTGAGAAAAACACAGATTAAGCTCCAACAGTTGAAATCAAGACACTTTTCTCCATAAACTGATATTAAAAGGTGTCTCAAGTAATTCGTCATAGATTACCGATAAGAACAAATCAAATGAACGTATTTATGAGTACAAGTCTTTAGTTCACACAGACCCTAGTTCTATTACTTTTGAAAGTTTGAAACATTTTGGATACAGTTTATGTAAACTATAGTATCCTTCCGTAAGAATTACCGTTTTATCAATATTATTCATATTATAAACTTGAATAATAAGAAAATATATACTGTTGATTTGTATATTGACTTATGATGACCTCTAGCAAGTATTATTTAATTTATTAAATATTAAATGACCTTTTCAATCATAAAATGTGTGTGCTAGATTGTTGAAAAATAACAAGTAAAATTAATTGTTTTTTTTTAGATTGTAAAAGCTTTCATTCGATCTTACGACATAATATGAGTCATTCAATTATCTTTTATTTATTCTCAACTGAATCAGGTCAGTCTTCATTTGAATTATGAAAATTTAGTTATTACAGTTACAATTCTATAGAATTACTCGCTGTGCATTCGAGAAACTAGGCGTAGCTATAACATTGAATGGTTTTCTCTATTCTTTTGAGCTTTTATTATTTGTATTCCATATTGAGACAAATAGATGATTCTATAAAATTACACAGACCCTTCTTATCTACTATACATAACACATGACAAAATCCAGACACTCATATATTTTTGTTAATTAAAAAAGATCAATAGTATTTTTTCCATATAAGATAACAATGATTTTAGATACCTGACATGGTTTTTTTTTAATAGACAGCTGTTGAGCAAAAAATGTTCTAACTTTTATTCTGTAACAAAACTTACTTGGTCGTATTTTATGTAGCCCTATATCATTTTTTATCACACAATGTCAAGATATCATTCATACTTGTTTCCAATGTTCAGCAATAATTGGTACTTATGCACAACTCTTTAATTGTTTAAAAAATTTTAATAATCTCTATTCTTCTCATTCTTGTGGGATAGTTTATATCCACTTGTATAAGTAAATTTGTCGTATGTATTTTGTGATGACAGAGAAATTAGGAAAATATTTGATTGTTTCTAGATAATTAATATTATTTATCAATGTCAATCAATGTCAGTAGTTCGTTAGAAACATCCAATATAACAAAAAATGAATCGCATGTAAGTTGTGACAATTATAAGATATAATTATAAATATTTCATAATAGGAATTAAGTTATCGAACGAAAGAATTAAAACAATCATTGATTATTTGGCGTAATGTTTTAGTACTAATAAATAATTTACTTGAATGGGAACATAAATATGATTCATTGATTATTTTTGGAATAATCACTTTTATTTTCTTGTAAGATCAATGTTTTATTCAATTAAATATAAATTATTGAATTTTAGCTGTATTCGTGAAATAAATCCACCTATACTTACACTTATCAGTTGTCTTGTTCTAATAGTAGTACTTATTGATCTACTGGCACCAATAGGTATTCGAATTGTATTTAAAAACGAAGATTGGCAAGTTCAAATAGAAATAATTTGAATTAATATCTCTCTAGAAATTTTTTTTTAGGACATCTACTAAAGAAGCTAAATATTCAAGATTATGCGAACGTATTGCAAATCTTGAACAACACATTAAACATAAATGTGACTTAGCTTTGAAAATACGTAAAGAACGACCATTAATGGTATTATTATTGTAAAATCTTCTATTAAAATTTATTATTAATTTTTTCTTTAGTATTTAATGATTGGTAGTATATGTCTTGCTTTTATTGCATTTTGTTGTCAAAATATCGATAATCTTCTGCTTAGTTATTTAACAAGTAAAATTTCATTATCTTTAAAATGAAATAATCGAAATAGTTTTGTTTTTATTTCTTGTTAAATATAGCTCTTATTCTTTGCCTTACACCTGGTATACGTGATCGACAATTAATACCATTGATTCGTCAATATATAGATGGATTTTTGAATAATAAAAAAATAGTTTCATCATATGAAAATGAAGAGAAAAGAACTCAATAAACTTTATCATATTAAAAAGCAATATTCTTTGTATTTTTTTAAAATGAATGAAATCGTTGTGTATGTAAAGATTGTGTGCATTTAAAAAGGAAATTTGATTTCAGTTTTATTGGTAAAGATTTATGTTTTTTCTATTCAATAAAAAAAAAATAAAACATATAACTATTGTATGTGAATAGAAAATGATCGAACTGATCAATGATAGTAACATGTTAAAGAAGTAATACTCTTTCTTTCTGAATCATGAAAAATTACTGCTTTTCTTTAGGCAGAATTAAACATTTGTCTTGCATTCTGGTAGAAAAATATTCTAGTCCTCCAAAGAAAATTACGATGCTCCTCGATCAATGTCAACTGTCTCGGGCTACAGCTGGAGCTAACGATCGAAATTATTTATTCGAATTCCTGATTGGGTATCTTTTTCTGAGTATGTCATGATCATTATTGATAACAGTTGCTCTAGTTCTGTGTTAAAACATTTTTAGTGTTATATTCAATGATTTTGTTCAAATTTTCTCTTCCACAGGAGCAATTACAGCTCCAGAAGAAAAAATATCTCTTTTCGGAAGTAATGGCACATAGTATGTAGTAAAATAACTATAAACTCCGGAAGAATCTACTCTATATATGAACCATACTTAATTGATTATATGCTCGATCAAAATAAAAATTAATCTTTTTAAAAAATATATTTATTAAAAATGCAATGACAGTATATTTTCAGAAGCAAGTTAAGTTTATTATTGTTTGTTAGTTTTTGAATTCTATTAACAATACCCGACATGGTTTGTATGTAGATTCTTGCAATTATTGTTGACTTTCTGTTTTTTTTTACAATGATCTATTTTTTGATTCTCAATAAATTCAATACATCTATATTTTTTTTGTAATTAGCAAGTGTTCTAAGAAAATAGTTTTGGTTAATAAATCCCATGAATTTATATTTATTGGAAAACAGTCCAAAACAGTTTTGTTTATATTCTTTTCTAGGCAACACTGATTCTTTATATATTCAAATAAACAGATGGAGAAATCAAAAAGTAAAAAATTTTATAAAAGACTGTTGACCAGCTGAGACTTCGAACCATTTAGAACCAAATGTTTTCCTTGAATATTACCTATATCAAATAGGTTTTTTCAAGATGACTTCAGTTCTTTGTTATAGTAACTATAGTTAATATTAACTTTTCATTGGCATGCACTAAATCCAAACCTTCGAGTTCAATCTAATACAGACACAACATTGTCTACTATCAAAATATTTCGGTTGAAATAAAAGTTTTTAGTTTTTTTTATCTGTCAAGTGATCTTCTCTTTTTTATGTTAAAGCTATTGGAATCGATTAAAGATATAGATATAATTAGTACTAATGTTCTTTCTTAAAAGTATTATTCATATACATGATACTGAGAAGTTTGATGCACAAAGTCTCAGAAGTAAAAAGCTACTTGTTTTTGTACCGAATGAAACTATTCAATATCAACTAGAAATGTCCGGACGAAACCGGTTCCAGTAATTTCTTATCTAGTGATCTCGGTCATGAACTCGAGAAATCTAATCTGGTTTCGATACAGAGAAAACGATGCCAGAATCGATTCGTATCACGTCTAAAAAAGTCCTTCAATATTCGGTTTTGCTATTTGTTTAGTCAATGACTGGCACTTTTTTCGATCATTTGTATTGAATTGTGTTCTGATTGATATGATTTATAAGATACTTCTCTAAAACTATAGAAATATTCAACTATCATTTTTAGTTTTAGTTAGGATAATTTTTTTTTCGTAATCCTAATCTCGCTGAATCTTCAAGTTTTGCTGTCAAACATCTCCAGTCCGACCGCTAATTCCGAGTTCGAGTTTATTGCATGCTAAATTTGTCATCTTCGATAGTATTTAGTATCAAACTGATATTTTTATCGTTAAATATTTCTTTTTTGATGCTTGTTCTGAAAGAATTGCTGCTTTATTCATTGTATATTCCATTGAACAGATGCTAGTCATAAGAGCTTTCATCAAACATTATCATGAAAACTTTGCTGACACTGATAATACTCATAAGGAAATTTATCTAGAATGTATTTGAAGAGGTTTTATCGGTATAAAAAATAATGATTACCTTGAATGAAAGACAGGTTGATATTTTTAATTTTTTTACGCTAACAAGACATGCACCAAAGTTATCATATATTGAACATACACAAAAAATTGTTTTTCGACATTAGTTAAAACAAAATATAAGTTAAAATAAACGAGTGATAATTCAAAGTAATTTTAACTTGAAGTGCGAAATAAATATGAAACTTTAAAGAATAAGAGAGAAACATTATCAAGTTTTGTCGCTTGATAAATACTTTTTTTTCGAACATGTGAACACGAGCCTTGATGGTGATGTTTATGATATACAGTTTGATATCTGTGGTAAAATAAATCAATCTTGATTATTCTTTTTATTTTCTTTTTCAACATGCATTTCAATGTTAAAAACTTTATACAAACTGATTTTATTTAGAAGATCTTCATTGATAGAAAATTATTGATATTGTACAGTAATAAATGTTGTTTGAAAAACAAACAAAGTAGTTATCTATCTGATGAATAAGAGATCAAAATTCGAATATTTTTATTAATTTATGTAAACTTCCACTGATAGTTTTAGATATTTTTCTACACTTTACGATGCCCATGGTCTTTTGAAATTTTATAATGACTATATTTCAAACTATGAGTAAAAATATAAAACTAATCTTCGTATTGATATTTCGTTCTATTCTTTTTTCGCACAATGATGTTTCTCAAAAATGTAATCATAGGATAATAGACATGAATGGTAACAGCTGCTGCTTACACTCTTTCCTCCGATCTTTTGATCTATAGAATATTTCAAAATTTATTAAATATATCGACAACTAAAGAATATGTATTGATACATATTATCGTATAACATTCTTATTCAAGAGTTTTCAAAGCCCAGAGACTAGCTATTCAAGGACATAAAAGCAGTTTATGGAAATTGTTGGTGAAGGTAATTAATTTTTTCTCTCTATAGCATAAAGATTGGGGGCGACCATTTTTCGACGATATCACGGTCCATAAGAATACAGAAGAACATCTTCTGATCACACTACATACAATGAGTAATACTAATAAACTTCATTGCTTTAAGTTGATTTGAATTACATGATAGTTTAGAGACCTACGCCTCTAAATTTTACATGACTCTTGAGATGTCTTGAATAGTTCATTTCTGAATGATGGATATATCTTTGTGTCTCAACCTATTCGAATAATTTTTTATAAATAAGTTCAAGATTTTTAACTTGAATTCGACTGATGTATTAATGTGGTTTTTTTTTTCTTTGATTCAGTATTTAAGGAATCGATCAAAAACGTTGAAGGAAAAAAATAAGTCATCGACAAACAAAAGCTACTAGTATGAATCAAACATGAAATTTCTGTTTTTCAAGAAACAATCATCAAGCTTAGTAAGATAAAAGTTAATATCAATGATTCAAATATCATACTAATCTTTTGACGTCGTTTATATTCGTTTTTTTCCTATTCCTCGACATACACTTATATATATATATATTCGACTTAAATTTAGTTATTTTATCTTTCTTTCTTTTTCTCTCTGTAATCATCATCCGGACGGATAGTGTTACTATCTTATTATTTATCTTCTTTTTCATTGTGCATATTAGTTTCATCTGGTTTTTGTTCTCATACTTCGTTTTCTTTTTCTACGTTCTAAATAATCATGGCCACATATTTCGATCTTATTGCTCGACCGAATGACCCTATTAAATCGAAAACGACAGGTAAGTTTCTTAAATTATCAAATTCATCAAATGATTTGAAAGTGCCTAATGATTGGGTTGTTAAATCAGGTGATGTACTTCCATGCAGTGATTATCGAACAACAGATACTTATTTGTAAGTTCTATTCGAATTAAACATTTTATTTTGTGTCAATCAATAATATTTTTCTTATTAGTATTACACATGACAATACACTTTTAAAAAACCCAGATACATCTGCTGCTGGTTATTTAACAATTCCATTTTCCATTAGTTCATTAGTTCTTGATACTGTTATATTATTATTCTTCTGTTTTGAATTCTATTGATCGTAATAATGTTATATCAATTGAATTAGCACCTAAAGATTTGCTTTTTGTTTCACATTTTTCAAAAGAACCTCTTCCAAAATCAATTATAAATCGTAATGATATATCATATTCATTTGATCCAAATGATAAGATACACTATGTTATGATATCATCCAGTTCTAATCAATGTCAAGATTTTTCATTGAATACAACTAAAACGAATGATATTATTAATTGGATTTTAATATCAAATGAATCAAAAATTAAATTTAATGTTAAATTTAATTTCGAAGGTAAGGAAATATGTAATAAAGTTCCTCAAGGTATCATTACTGAATTACCTATTGGATGGCAATGTGAACAAAAAGGTGTTTTAATATATACTGAAGATAAAATTCAAGGTGAATCAATAGGTGAAGGACCAGAAAAAACAAAGATAATGCGCGAACAGCTATTGAACATTTTTATAATGGATTAAATAGAGAAACTATATAATTTCATTTTTTAGATTAAAGTAAAAAGAAAATCAAAACAAAAGTTTTTAAATATTATGGCTTTAGCAGATATTTTGCATGATCGAACGGCTCGTTATTTTGATTTAGTTAATAATCCTGAATTATTAAAAGGAATAGATGGTCTTCCAATAGCTGATTCAGACTTTAAAGATTTTCCAGCTAAAGGAACAAAGATTCCAGATAATTGGGATGTTAGTTTTGGTGATGTTCTTAATTGGTCAAAAGGACGTCCAACAGAAGCTTATTTTGTTATGGAAGATCGAACATTATTAAAAAATCCTGATCGTACTGGTTCAGGTTATTTAACTATTCCATTTATTATTACTAGTAAGCAAATTTTTTTTTTCAATCATTACTATTTATTTTCTTGATTAGAAAATACTCGAAATGCTTTGCTTAAATATGAATATGTCATAAATGGTATTGGTAAAGATTATGTATCGACAGTAGAAATGCATCCTGATGATGTATTTATTGTAAAACATTGGGGTCAAGTGCCTAGTGAAATGCATTCACGTAATGTGGAATTTATTTATGATCCACTTGAAGAATTTCTTTATGTAAATATTCCATATACATCAAAATCAAAAGAATTTAAATTAGGTTCAACAACAATGAAAGATATTGAAACATGGTTTTCTGGGTAATAAAACATAGAAATTCTTTATTATTTTCATTTGTTTTTTTTTTTAATTTTATCTTTTAGTGCATTAGAAACTCAAGCATCTTTTCGAGTTAAATATGATTTTTCAGGTCCACAATTTCAAAAATATCATGATTTATATCGATTACATGAAGAAGATTTCTCATTACCAAAAACATGGTCTGCTGAACCTGGTACAACACATGTGGGTCATGACTTTTGTCGTGGTGAATGGATTTTTCATGGTTTGTGTTTTTTTTTTTCTTTGTTTCATTTTTGAATTACAATCTGACTTCTAGGTGATCATAAACATTTGCATGAAGCGAAAAAGAATATACAAGATTTTTATAAGGATCTGGTTATTGGCATTGAAGATATACCACATACAACAGTTTCAATTGTTTAACAAATCTTTGATTGACTCATTTATATTTCATTTATTATAATCAAGCTGTTTTAATCGGTTTTTAAATATTTTATCTATTATAAATTAGAAAGTTTAGAAGAAAAAAAAAAAGAAAAACAAGAATTGCATTATGTATTGATTTTATTTTTCATGAAATATTTTTCTTTATACAGAAAAATTTAATAAATCCAGAGATATTTTCTTAGATGAATTTTTATGAATGCAATCACTATTGTTTGAATTAATGAAAGAATCATTATGTAGTTCAGCATAAACATCATGTCAAATAGTGGCCATAAAAATCATCTTGTATGTCATTGATTCACCATAGTCTTGCTATAAATCTTGTTCATTGATTCCATCACTTCTATAATTTATCATTATCAGAACTTGATGCAGTTGATGAATCGGTTGGCACTTCTTCGAATCCTTGAGCATTATCATTTTCGTATTGTACCATTCCGTCTTCCATTGTTTGTGTTTGTCTTAGTTTAAACAAATTTTTTTGTTGAAATGTCAAATGTCTACTTGCACTTGCCTTTTATAGCAGTTGAATGACTACACTTTTTCCTTTTCTTTATCTGCACAAAATCATACCTGAATTTCATTTGAGCATCGGATGACTCAGTGTTATGTGTATAGACGACGTCAACAGAACGATTCGTCGTCAACCAGACGATTGACCTTCAACAATAAGTGTGAAGAATTAACTATACTTACATTTACAATAATTCAATAAACATACAACAAACATTAATTTAATGATGTTTTTTGGTTCAGTTCATTAATTACAATATAATTGAGATTTGAAACTAAAATCTTTCTTATTCAATAGAAATCTGGGATAAAATGCATTTATAACAATGAAAATGCGTACTTTTTGAAATTTAATTATATAAAAACAGCAGGCCTGGAAAGATTTACATACTCATTGTTTGGTGATGTTTGTTTTGGTTGACATCAGACATATTCATTAATTTTTAATTTCTTTACACAACAGCAAAATTCGACTTTCTATAGCAACAAAAAAAATGAAGACATGTTCACAGCAAAAGATTATCATCTTTAGTTCAATGATAATGATCGAAAATGTAATTTGATAGATAATCTACTTCTCCTTGTTGAGAATATTTTATGTTAACAATTAATGCACTATCTGATATATATTTAACAATATGATATTTTCAAACCATTGTTCTATGTAGTGAACTGGTGAGTACAGTTTACACTTCTGAATTCAGTATCTAATGAATCAAAAAAAAAATAGAAAATACGCACAAGATAAATCATCATCTCGTCTTTCATCCATTGATATTTCTGCTCCACACTCCGTATCACTTGACCTATTCTCAAATACAACATGTCAAAAAAGTAAAAACATTTGAAAAGTAAGACTAGAATATATTTGAGTATGTTGGTTTCTTGAAAATTGTTTATACTATTCAAACTAGACTTTGATTATCATCATGTCATAAACAGTTATCCTCAAATAAATCAAGCCAGCTGTTCCGTTCGAACTGTTGTTTCATATTCGTTCTTCTTTTTCTTTATGTTTCGAAGAAATCACATTTTGCTGTTCTGTAAAGAAACCCACTAATTATTATGATTATACTACGCATCAGCCAAAACAAATACAAACAAAAAACGAATACGCAAGATTTTGCACTTGTGTTGCTCGGCAAAATTGAATTTTAATGAAAAATTAGTTTAGATTGATTTAAATGAATTTAATAAATATCGTTATTTGATTCAGCACGATAAAATAACTATTTCTTATTTAGATATTACTAAATGACAACTAGTTTCAAGCACATTTGAATTTTGTCGTGATCAATGTCGTCATTATTTGAACCATAATTATTTAAATGGCTCTAAAAAATAATAACAAAACTAAATAAAAACTAAAATTTATACTTTTATTTTTTTGATTACAGATAGAATTCTATGGAATTTTTTTTTCTTATCATTGAATAGATAATCATCTTTCCAAGTTAATAGCGGAAAAGTCATTTTCAATGGATTTTAAGGCATATATTTCGCACTATTGACAATGATTATAATATTATTTTGTTACGTTGCCGAAATTGAATTAGTGATTGAAAGAATGAAGTTTCTGTAGACAATGAAAATGTCACGGCGAATGATTTATTATAGTAATTGATTTTATGTCGTTTTGCTGAAGATGATTTTGATCGACAATTTAACAATTATCAAATATCAGATAAAATTTATGTACATGCAAAACTAAATCCTACGATTTACTTTATTTAAAACAAAACTCAATGCGACATTAAAAAAATGAGCTGATATTGAATATGAATTGTGAGAAAACTTGTGAAGATTTATATTTTGTATAGTATTTATAATGAATGTATAGATAATTGTTGTGAATTATTAGTACGGTAATTTGAATATGAAGGATTTATTCGTTATTTCTATACTGAACCAAAACATACTGATGTTCATTCAATTTGAATATATCAGCAAAATGGATCAAAGTTATACGAATCTAAAAGACGTCTTTCTTGAAAAATTCAAGTTGAGAAAACGATAAAAATAAAAGGTGAAGATATCTCAGAAAAATATATTTCATTTTCTTCCACTTTTTTTTATTTTTCTATTGATGTTCATCTTTGAGAAACGATTATTTAGCAAGTCAATTCTCATTGTTTTATGATCATATAATTTAAATTATAACTGAAGTAAAAAGGATTTTGTTATTTTATCGTCATCATGCATTAGTTTAGTGGAATAATTTTCAATTCAATATTATATTCGCTAAATATCATGAACTTAAACTATAATATGAAGGATACTTTCGTCTGTTATGACGAATTCTAGTTCTCGACAAGAGTACAACCAATCAGGCTAATAATTTCACTGCAGATATAGCACCTACAATAAACAGATAAGTCTTTGAAGAGAAAAACTTCAAAGAGTTTTTATAAAAATACGGTAGTTTTTCATGAAATCGCGTCCTGGTGCATTACGATCTGGATTAAATTTTGCCTGATTTAGCTAAAAAGTTTTTGGAGATATTTAAGACTATACCTTATAGGTCAAATTTTTAGAATCCTATAAATTTGAACACGAAAGTCAAAAATGAAAGCAGCTGATTCTACTTCTAGAGAATATTTCGAAGTATCTATTATAAAAATTTTAGTTCGATCAGACAAAATTAGAGAGGATCGTAATGCACCAGGATACGAGCTTAGGATAATAAGAGTTTCTCCATAAAATTCTCTCTAAACTATGATTCTTCTGAAATGTGTCTCGTTATTTTACCTACTGTATTCATGATAAAAGTTTCAGCCTGATCGGTTTAAGTTTCTTCATAGTTTGATTTTAAAGAAAATAGTAACATAGTTATATAGTAATTAAATAAAAAAAAACAATCATATGAACAAATAGAAAACAACAGAAGAAGCAGCGAAAAATCCAATAATTCTTAATTTTGAAAGAAATAGTTGATTAATATTTATAATGTCCGTATTTCAACAGTACAGAAACACTTTTCATTCAACTTAGATATTGCAGACATACCGTGGTCAGACAATCATTCAACTGAGTTTACTTGACAGTTCTCCTTGGTTATTGCGAGCCCATCTACCGTAAGGGTCAATCGAATGGCATTGTGTATTTCTGACATTAGTTAAAACATGCTCATGATTGTATTGATGCATGACAATTAGTATTCCAAATATAGAATAGACTTTATCACATGGAATTATGCAATCTTTGCTGTTGGTCAGAATATTTAAGTGTCAAGGACTCTTCCAATTACCGATCTAGTCTGCTGAATGACTGACAATACTTAATGGATCGATGCCATCGAAAATAATTATTACTATTTCAAGCTAGCCCAAGATGAGTATCTCTCCTGTTATAGGTGATATCAAGACAGAAAACAAGAAAAAATGTAAAGAGTAGGTATTTTTGATTAATTGACATCATGAATACACTTTAATTATTCTTTCACAATATTTTAAGAATCGAACTAAAAAAGATTTCTTCTCTAATCAATACTTTTTTCAATCGTAATACTATATATATACCTCATCTTATACGTACAAACTGAAGAGAGAATCATACAAATATCAGATATCTGTAAATCAACATAATGCATTCATAAACCATGTGTATTTTTTATGAGATTGCATAACAAAACTTGCTTATAATGTATTTTTCTCGCTGATGTTGCTAAGTTTAGAAACCAAAAAGCACATCTTCAGTTAGAAATCAATGAGCTCTATCAAACACAATCATTTTGAACGCAGTTTGATTTTATTTCTCCATCGGTTTCTGTAATACTCAAAAATCATAATGTTTTTTAAAATTATTGAAAAAGTTGAAATTTGTTTTTTCTTGAATTCTAGTCAAAAATACATCATTTCATGTAGAACTCGATGCTGACGCTGAATATCTGTTTACTTTTGATATTATTCCAACCGAAACTGTATTTTTTAGGATAAGAATAAAATACAGTACGCTCAATATTTTTTATATAACTCAACTGCAACTAGAGAAACATAAATGAAATTTTCATTAGTAGTAAATCTAAGTGCTCTCTATCAATGACAAAAAAAAACTTACAATGCTTACTTTTGTCATAGTGGAAATACAAATATTACAGTGGAAAAACATGAAGTTCAGTAACGTTTACTCATATCGAACTAGGTGATGAGTCATTATAGAGTTTACGTACTTTTAGTATATTCTATCTAATAATAAAAGCCTCATCTCAAATGTTTTTTCTACCTGGGAGTGTTTTTTCGTTAGTTATAAAAAGCATACAGAGAGAAAACAAAAAAAAAAACAACATGTGTTTTTGTTTGGTCCTTATATAGATGTTTGATAAAGTTTGAGTAGTCTTAGTTTCTACGTCACTCTTCACTTCATCAATCAATTCATTTTATTTGAAAAGAAAACTTTTTCTTATATTCCAGTTATGTTTATCTAGTCTATCACAAGTAAAAAGGGTATGACTTTTTGAACCTGTA